TGAGCAGTTTCAAATACGATTTTGCATGTGACGAATAAGAATTTATGTTTGAGATATTTATTAAGTGCGTTTTACACATTACATGTTTTAATCATGATAAATTGACTAATTATGTAAATTTTTTGGTGGAAAGGGGACATACTGTCAAAGATCATATTTTCGACAGAAACCTATTAAGGTAGATGGAGGTGCATTTAATATATGAAATTCACATTATGATATGCTACCAGTTTTCTGTCCCTCGTCGAAAATTTATTGGTGCACTCTGATACCAATTGAAATTTACGCAGTTCGACTCAAACTAGAGGGTGTGGATATGTGTAAATTCGTAATTAAAAATTAACCAACAACAAGTCACATATGGTTAAGCATACAATCCAATTACCCCATATTTGAATACTGCATAATATGAAAACAATAAAAAAACAAGCGTAATGTTCACGGAGAAACTCAATTGGGTAAAAAGTCCAGTCAAAATCCACTATTAACGATCGAACTTACAGTCCGCCAGATAAGACAACGACACGAGCTTTCTGACCTCGTGACTAAAGTTAATACAGTCCTCTTGGATTGTGTGTCTCCCAACAACTCTTGACTGAGATTCTGACCGTCCTCCTAGATTATGTGGCCCTGCACCAACTCCTTGACTGTAATATCCTTCCTGGATTTTTTAACCCCTAATTTTATGGATTTGTCTATCTCTTGTGAATTTTTGAAGAATTCCATGTTTCTCAGTAAGCTTAGTATTTGAATTAACTGAAACAGATACTTTCTCCGCAAGTATAATTAAATCTATGAAGGTTGAAATCTCTCAATGAATAGGAAGATGAAAATATGAAGCTCCCTCAAGTTCTCTCTACGTTTCAACCTTCCAATTTAAATTCTGTGGCGTTTTGGTATTTATATGATAGGGTTAGGGTTGAATGAGTCGGATAAAAAACCTTAAAAAAATTTCGGCTAACCATGTCGCTCGAGGGAGAGCTCAGGGACAGTCGAGCGACGGCTTGTCGCTCGAGCGAGG